TCGCAAGACAGCAGAGGAGATCTTTTATGCCGAGTAAGTTTCTTATTTGCATTAGATAATGTGTTGTTGTGACATAAACTTGAACGCATTTACTAGTTGGACTTTTCCCAGACTATAATTCCAGACTAAAATGTGTGAAATTGAGTGCAACATTTTGAAATATGATAGGCAACCTTTCATTGCATCTAAATGTTGTATGACGTAAGGATGATTTTATGGTTTCCATAAACAATACGATATAAAAGTAATGTTTAGACGATATAAAAGTAATGACTATGAATGTTTAGACCAATCTTTACTGTGAAATACTCTGTCTGCAAATATCTGCTCTAACATGTTTAGGCCTATAATGTGCTTAACAATAATAATTTAGTTTCTCAGATATAAAATGACATTTTTGTATTGTACAATAATACATACAAAGCATGTGTGCATCTATGATATAAAAGCATGTGGGCAATATCAGTGATTGCTAATGTAATAATATTGTTGCTCCTGATAGGCCTATCAACATGCTCACTTATTTATTTATTTATTTTAGTGGTAATAAATGTTTTTGATCAGCAAATCAGAATGTTAGAATTATTTCTGAAGGATCATGTGACACTGGAGTAATGATGCTAAAAAATTCAGCTTTGAAATCACAGGAATACATTGCATTTTAGAATATATTCAAATAGAAAACCGTTATTTTGAATAGTAAAAATTATTTCAAAATGTTACTGTTTTTGCTGTACTTTGAATTAAATAAATGCAGGCTTGGTGAGCTGAAGACACTTCTTTAAAAAACATTACAAAACTTACTGTTTAAAAACTTTTGACTGGTAATGTATATATATATACTGTCACCATGTTTGCTCTGTCTTTGTCCGATCATTATCTTGCTCACATTTGTTTTCTCGTGCAGTTTCTGCTGTCTCCCGTTTTCCTGCTTTCAAGTTTCCTGCCACTGTTTTGGATATTTTGGATAGCCTATTGCACCCACGACGTCTTGACTCTTGTGTGTTTATTTGTTCCTAATAAACTGTTTAACTGCACTCGCAAGTGAATCTCAAGTTATTTTGTGTGATAGTTAAATATATTCTAAATAAACTAAAAACAAAAAATATATACATTTCTTTTTTTCTCACATTCTTTCTTGTAACTCTTCCCTCTCAGTCACACACCTGACTGAAAGGCTCATTATGCAGCTCATTATGCGGGCCTTTGTCTTCTCAGGTGTGAATCACACTACATATTTCTACAGAAATAGTGTCTTAGAAAATTTAAATGAATATATTGTTTTCTGTGAATGAGTGAACAGGATAATTTTCACATAATTTTGAAGCAAAAACTCTAGTCTACAAGAGTCAGTTCTCAAAGGTCTTGTGAACAAATGTTCTGTATGTGTTTTATGGCCTTATTCAAGTGATTTAAAATTTTTTGTTTTTCACTAACCATGCATAAACATTGCTTTCTCAAAAACACAATCATGTACATACATGCTGTTCACATATTATTGTAGCCCAGTTTGTGCTGATTACAGTGTTATCAGACGTTAGCCAATGATATGTTTATAAGCAACTGAAAAAAGCAAAAATGTCAGGGCATGTCAAAACTTCTCCAGGGCCCCAAAACACCCTCAGACCCCAGAGGGTTAAAGTACGCTGGTACGATTTGTCACTCTAAACTACGCAAAAACCCGGTGACCTGTCCACGCGCAGTAAACAAGCAACAGAAAAAGATGAGGAGTTCAACCAATCAGAGCATTTTCCGTATTTTTTTTATTTCTCTCCAAACTGGCTCTGTTTGTGTGTTCCTGAGTCGTGCACTGAGATGAGGAAACACGTGTATGGTATTTCCTGGAGTGGTGAGCTGTATTTCTTCGGTGATGCATATGTGGACTTTCTGCGCAGGGGCGCCCTCTAGTATCCAGTATGAATGAAACAGACATTACATGTGTTCATAGCACTAAATAATGGCCAATCTATAAAAATAATACTTCTCTCAAAATAAATTAAAGGTAGACACCTTAATTACTTAAAGTATACTGGAGTTTGTTTTTTTAAATAGCATTTAAAATCGCTAAAAAGAACTCTGTTGTGCCAAACTATCAGAACCATACTGAAAACTGTTTTTAAAATACTGAGGTATTTATTGAACCTTGGGCTAACTGTATTGTTGCATTCCTACTGTTTACTCTAAAATACTGTATAACAGGAATATCACAAACTGAGTGCAGACTCTTGAGTACTAACCTATGAAAAATATTTAACATGAAGTCTAGCATTTTGCACATTGTGCAATTACGATTTTGACATTAGCCATCAAGGAGCTTCAAGTAATGTAGGAATAGGCTATATGTCCCCCGGTATCACAATCCCCCATATATATACAGTATATATATATATATATATATATACACACACACACATACACACACACATACATACAGTGAAAACAAGTAGATAGAATAGAAATAGAATATAGAAAGCTAGTGTTTTTTTTTTTTTTTAGAAAAACAAGCAGTTAGAAAACGAATAGAGAGTGCAAGTAGAGGGTCAAGTGTTTCTATTTAAATGTAAACATGTAAACAAATATGTACAGAACTATGTGAAGTTACATATTTACATTATTTTTACAGTTACATTGTGTGGCATGATAGGTAAGGATAGTAGTTCTCAGAAGTGAATGGGTGGGGTGGGTATTTTCTTGACTTCATCAAACCAAAGTCACAGTAGGTGCATAGAGTGGTGTATCATTCCTGGATCCTGATATGAATCAGTCTTTGACAGACCCATTATTATAGACAACAATTCAACGACCAATTATTAAAGACAGACACTTGAATTTATTCATGAATGAATCAGCATCTTGAATGAATAGTTTGAATAAAAGGCTTCTTTATTAACACAATGACTTACCGCCACCTAGTGGCGATATTACTTTCATAAGTATCATAAAGTAGGCCTATCATTTCATTTTGTCATTACATATTTCTGTAATAAAAATGTATAAAAAAATTATCTCATTTCATTATACAGTTGTAATTGCTATGTAAATGCATGTACAGCCGTCTGATCAGCATTAAACTGTAAATAGGCCTACATCTAAAAGCAACTTCAGACGCAGCTTCTATCTCTGAAATGCAAAGAAGGCTTGATTAATACTGATTTAATTGGTAACAGCCTATTGTCATATTACATGTATTCTAATTTAACATTAACATTTAAGAATTTAACATTAAGTATAACATACATATTTAGGCCTAATATGAAATTCTGTATAAATGGTTAAAAAAATCAGTTGCCCCTAATGAGAAAGTTAATTTCTGACACTGATAGAATCATCTTTGGTTTATTTCTAGTTGTGAGTGCAGGTATGAAGTAAATTCATGAGATAAACGAATATTTCACGGGTAGGTTGCAGAATTTATGCTGCCTACACAAAAGAAAGGTCTGCCTCGGTACAGTTTGTGTCAAGCCATTCGTTAATCTGGCTGTTTGATGAAGAGAAAGAGATTAAATTGCCGGTGTCCCTGCTCGGTGGAGTCCAACGGTAGAGTCAATGGTCTTTACACTCTTCGGTCTTCACACGAGGGCTGCCGCGGTATACTAAGCTTTTTATATTCGATCTTTACACTGTTTTGCTGGAGCTTGAACACACTTTCCTGTTTATCACAACAGTGGCGGCTTCTGACAATTCTCTCAGGGGGGGCAAATGTTTGCATGATTAATGAGGATAGGTCACCCATTCAATTGATAAATTAACGGCTAGTTAAAGATGTAAAGGAAACTGAACTACTATAGTATTAATTAAAAATAAACTGACTCTAACAATCAATCTCTTGCTCTCCTTATGTTTGTGTTAACACAATTCAGCAGCAAATGAAGACTGAAGCCAG